TCTCATCCGATCTGCCTAACGCAATGCACATCAGGCAACTTTGAATAATTTATATACAGCGGCACCCTGCCTGCTCGGCAGTTCGAGGATCAAACTGGAGCTTCCGGATAGGGGAAGAAATCGTGTTAGAGTTGGTATCCCAAACAAAGGTGTCGCGAACTTCAACGGTTTGCTCCTGGCAGCAAGGATTCAGGACATTCCACGCATGCCCACACTTCTCAAAGGCTTATGAGTCTGTGTTGTCTGTATCATAAAAGTAGCGGCCTTGGCAAAATGTCCACAAGGCTAAGTGGAAAGGAATCATGATGTTGGACATGGACTCAGAGTTCATCTGTTCTTCAGCGATTTCTACAGCCAATCTCATGACTGCATTCTGATGACTGATCTTCCACTGCAAATGCTTTCATTTGTTGAAGTCTCTCCGAGCTATTCAAACATTTGCAACCGCATGGAATGGCTGCTCAAGGTTGAGAAAATCAGGGGCAACAGGCTCATTGTATCTAGGCGAACCAGTGAAGTCTGTCCGGTGGCCTCTTGTAGACGTGTATACATGGGAAAGCTCATGCCTTTCCCAAAATAAACACCAATGAGTAAAGGAAGCTTGCAGAACCGAAGTCCTGAGCAGCATCTCTGCGGCTTGCTGCGTCAGCACCTTCCTCGCAGTGCTGCTCGTTCACCAAGATATCGTGATATCGGAGAACCCATTCTATGACACCCTTCTATGTCTTGTCATCAATGCAGAATCTTTGCAAGTTCTTGGGGTGAGAACCAAACAAGTTGCATGTTCCAACAAGGACAAAATACCTTACTTGGAGCGCACGTCCCTCAAACATCCCGCAGAATGTAAGGGTCTCATCAGTCACCTAGCACTGTCTAGACTCTGGGAAGGCTCCAGCACGTCTCACCAAAGACCCGGCGTTCCCTCGAGCGAGGGGACGAAGCTACAGCAGTTGTGAGCGTTCACATGAGAATCTGCTTCGCAGCCGGCGTAGCCACTCTCCGCGTTTTGCCCCACGTGTTGAGGCACACACAAGAAGCAGATGGGAGCTTCAGCTCCCCACATCCATCTAAAAAAACGGTTCGCCAACAGTGAACTTGGCGAACAAAACCCTGCACGGACGGTCACAAAATGAAAAGTCCTTGACGGCAGCACTGGACATGGCTGAATCATCCTGGAGAGCAGCAGGAATATGAGCGCATACACATGTTTGCGCAAGAACTTTCATTTGCCTCAAAAGCACTTCTCGACTATTTGCTACTAGGAGCAACGGGCATCGCTACTAGGAGCAAGGACGCTACGTTCGGGGCTCCTGGCATCGCTACTAACTGGTAGCATTCTTACTACTAGGAGCATGTTCGCTACTAGGAGCCTTTCGGACCACTCGACTCTCGACCCGTCCCATCCATCCCTTGAAAGGAACATGAGACCGAAGGAGCGTTTGTTGCGCCGGGCAAGGTGGCAACATGAGACTCTTCCGTGCTTTTGACCCCACTTATACAGTTAACTTTACTTACAAGATCTGATCTTGGATGGTGGTGTCGGGAAGCTGGCCACAAAGCACAGAAGGGCGTGCACCCAGTGTGGTCCTTGTCAGCTGTGATTGGTGTTGAAATCCCAGTAGAAACCTGAAACAAGGATACAAGAAAACAGTTCCAACTTCATGTTTACAACACGTCATTTAGTTGGCATCTTCTTGTATGTCAGCAACTTCACCATCTTAGTCTTGACATCCGGGAACATCCATGTGCCTTGTGGGGACCTTCCACTTGTGGACCATGCTCAGTTCGTCCGGCAAGTTCCTTGGCAATTTGATTTGATCAGTTTGATCCCCTTGCGGCTAACTCCACCAGCAAGTGCCTCTTTATGCCCAAATATTTGCACATCAAGTCGCTTCTGTGTCCACAAAAACAAAGCAAAACCGTGAAGAAAATGTTCTGATGACGACAATTGGTGAAGATAAGATATGTATATAAACATGTTTTGCTCCTGTTCTCATGATTTTTGAGCCAACTTGCTAGCCCAGCGGCTACAACTCTCGAAGCTGCATCCATTCGGATCTCCGACTGTGCACCTGAATCCTCGAAGATTTCAGACTTCAGCTTCAAGGTGGCCAAGAACTCAAGCCACCCACCATGGAGTAACCTGTTCACTACAAGCACTTGCAGCTGGGCACGTGTTATTGCATGGTAGAGCCGAGACCGTGTCAGATTGTCCGTGGTAGAATCGATTTCTGCGTCCAGCCCGATACACAGCACCACCAAGTGTTCAAGGCCTTTCGCATTTTCGTCCCAATCCAGAATGAGAGTGTCCTCTCCACAGTCTCCTTGAAAAGCTGTAGGAATGAACTCGAGAGTGTCTTCGAACGAGACCAGGGAAAACGTTCGAGCGGGAGCAAACTCTGCTTCCAGATGCCTGGACAAATGATGTTTGAATTCTTCTCGGAACCTCCTGTCCGGCACCAGCAGTGCGATATGATTTCCACGAAGACTTGGGTATGTTTTCATGGTGTGCCACAATGCATCTAAGGTCTGCTTGGCGTACGCCTGGTACTCTTCATCTTTGTTGCCACTTGACATCTCAAAAAGAAACGTCTTCAGAGGGGGTCCAGTGGTGCCAATGCAGCTGATCAAATCATTCTTGTGAAGTCGGAAGGCACTTGCACCGTGCATAATTCTCTTGGTGCTTCTCACTATTTCGCTGAGACTGGATTGAAACATATGAGGGAACTTGTGATGCAAGAAGGAAGACTGTGAAATGTCGGACAGAAGCATCTTTTGCACAGCGTTTACCTTCTCGAACAACTCACTGTTCCATTTGAACATCTCGTGTGCCTCATCAAAAATTGCGAGAAGAAATGCATCTTTGGGCTGAGCCCTCATTTCCTTCAGAACTATGCGGGAGCCTTGTAGACTCGCAGTCATGTGCCATTCATACGGTCGATGCATGAAGGCGAATCTCTTCAGCAAGTCCTCTGGTGATGTTGAGGGCAGCTGGGATGCAGCATTCATGATGACCCATCGTATGAAGTGCAGAATGAGCGGACGCGAGGGCGCAATATACAAAACCTGTCGTTGATCATCTAATTTGATCTTCGTCAGCAAATAGTGCACAGCCAAGAAGGTCTTCCCCGATCCAGCAGGGGCAGACAAATGGATATCCTGCAAACCCCCGTCATGGTTGAGCAGCTCATCTAACTTCTGCTTTTGGTGGTTAGTCAATTCTGATAGTGTCAAAAGACTTTTGGCATACTGATCAAAGAACACGGTCTGGTCAACTGCCAGCTCCACATCACCTTGACATCGCTCTGCCAATGTTCGGTTGAGAAGGATGTCCAAGTCGTACCTGAGGACCCTGTCCCTCAGGTCTTGTGCCGATTGAATTGTCGTGACATCAGTTTGAACGGCTAGTGATGGCTTGCCAGACGGAAGCCTTGCAGCTTTGATTGATTTGACATTCATTTTCAAAGCATCTTCGAAGATCTTCTTGAGAAAATCAGTCCCAAGGAATTGGTGAAGCTCCTCCAAAGCATGTGCAGCATGCCTCACGCACTTGGCATGAAAGGTGATGCCAGTGTCTTTGCTTTCCACCAGCCATTTCATTTCAGTATCGTCGGTTTCTGTAGGATTGGGTGTCTGAAGGATCTTGGCCATGGAGTAGCTGTTGCTCTGGCCATGCGGATCCAAGGCATCAACGTAGTCGCCTACTTGGAACTGACTGGAGAGGAACCTGGTGACATCTACCTCATCGTAGTCAAATGCGGGATTTTCTCGCCTCATCTTGTCCAAATAGGCAACTTCAGCCTTCTGGGACCCTCCTAAGCCATTGCCGTCCCAGAGATTGGATGTTGGCAACTTCTTCCAATGTACCTTTCCCATCCCTGCCTCTCCTGGGAAAAAAAACTACTCGCAAGCGTTGTCCTCTTTTGACAGCTTCTTCAACTCGCTGAATCCAAATATGGAACCAACAGCAGCCCCAAGCTGCTCTCTTCCCATGCTTCTCCCATAGCTCTTGGGCCTTCCGCTCATCTTCAACTGTAGGTTTCCCAAACACAATGTGAGCATTCATAGCCCGTGCCCTTTTCGGCAAGAGATGTTTCTCCTCCTCCGTCTTGTTGCCCTCCACCACCATCAAGTATCCAAATTCCTTGTAATCTTTTTGCCCATAAATGAGGGCACAGTAGCATTCTGTCTTGTTGTCATCGAGGAAGTGGTGCCTCCCAAGACCATGGTCCGGATCATCAAGAAAAACGCAAGCGACAGAATCCCAGTGTCGTTCGCTGATCAATGCGATCCAGCCAGTCAAATATTTGCCTGGAAAGGAGACCCAGCATACCTTAGCGTTCTCCAAGATGCGACCAAGGTAGCTAGGGTCTTTGTGGACGTTGTGCGCATTCAAAATGGCAGGCCTCTCCTTCAAAGTAAAATGAAGCGTCTGGATGTCCTGCGCAACTGCTTTGACGCATAACATTTTCACAAATAGAAACACTGGGGAAAAGTCAAAACCAAGCCGGGTCGGCCTCCAGCGACGCTTGTGGTGAAGCCTCACTTCGGGTGCAAGGAAGTCTTCAGAATGGTATGAAAAGGAACTGGCATTGAAAGCATCAGGGAAGACTTGAAAGGAAAGCTGCAGTAAACTGATAATGGACTGATTGAACCGCAAAATACGGGACCTTGCAAAAAGTAAGCCACGATTACACTAGCCAGACAAAAGTTGCGCTTCTTGGTGTTCAAACTCATTACAGCCCTTTCCCTCTACAAGACCTGGGACGGTGTTGAGACCTGGGACGGTGTGGGCGACGGAAGGCTTTGTTAATCGGACCTATGCACACGCACTCAATGTGAATTGTGCTGACCCGAAATGTGGTTGAGATCATCAAATCATACCTGATTTGTTTTCTCAAGAGCAGAGTGTTAAAGTCCGGCCAATGGACGCGGCAGCAGACATGAGTTTGCGCAAGGTTCACGGCACATTGCCTTCAAAGCTAGAGGTCCAGAAACTGTTGGTTCGGATTGTGAAAGCATCAGTGACACTGAATGGCAAACAAAAAGCAATGCTTCCTTCTCATGCTTGTATTTCCAAAAACCAAGGCTTTCTGAAGGTGGTGGAGTATCTGACCGGAAAGCAAGCCAACCAATTACCAAAATCCTAAGTGTGCGATCAAATGATGCGGCACGCCCAAAACACAAAGCGCAACCACATCAACTTGTCACTGAAGTTTGTTAACTTCCTGTTACATGGTTGCAATGAATCTTGCAACTTTGCGAAGGAACATACATTCCAATTTGCCGATCGCCTGGTTTTTGCATGCTTCAAAGAGTATGGGTGACCGCAAGCTTTTCTTTCAGCAGCCAGCTTTTCTTTCAAGAGTATGGATGGCCAAGCCTTGAGCAGCCAAATGCCCGAGCCCGGTTTACAAAGTGAACCTTCTTTCATGTTCACTTTAGGCTGGAAGAATAGGGACGCGCAAAAAACCTCGCAAGTGAATAGCATCACCGATATGCAAATATGCACCACACACTGCCTGAAGCAAGGGGTTCACAGGGCCAGGCTTCGACGCAACATGGCCTTGTCATCGAAAAGCAGCATAAGTATAAGGTCCACTCATGTCAGACGCGAAAGCCACCACGGTCACACCACGCATCAGCTTGTCAAGTTGCTGGAATGCCTACCCTGCAACTCCCTTCACGACATGTCAGGGACATCTCATAGGGTACGCCAAACCACTGTGAGCGGGGCCAGTCTCGTACACTCAGCTCCCAGCTAGGATGGGGACAAGTGGATGCAACGTGGAAGATGTCAGGTGGAAAAATCCCCGCATCCCATCTCGGTGTGAACCCTTCAGAATCCAAAGGTCATGAAGTGTGTGAGCTCACAAAGTGTTACAAGACAATGTGGTGAGGTGCCTCGGAGCTGTGCATGTGAACCTTTTTTGAGTGGGTACGACTGGGTACAAGTTAAACGGTAGACGATGCAAGAAAGCAACACGAAACACCACTGAGGCAACGGAACTAGGTGTTCATAGCTGTTCCATGTGAGCAAAGGTCGCACAATCTTCCAAGGACGCGTTGAACAACTTCCAATCAGCACCAAGTGGCGGAGCTGAGCAAGGACATCACTTCCTCGCAGCCTTTCATCTGGGCAAAGTCCAGTGCAGTTCGACCTTGGAGATTGATCAGAGCCAAGTCCAAGCTAACCATAACACCACAACGCAGTTTATGTGACATCTGAAACTTAGTTTCTTCCCACGTGCTTGTAGTTGTGGTTCCCGTTTGTGTTGAGGACCTACACCATCTAAATCACACAGCCACACAACAAGGAATATGAGGCCGGAGCCATTGTTGTTTCTAGCCTCCACATCTGCACGAGCACCAAGCAGTTGCTGCACCACCTCCAAGCTGCTGCTTAAGGCCGCGTGATGCAAAGGTGTATCACCTCGGCCCATCCAACTGACATGGGCAGAACAAAAAGACCAGGTGGCTTTGCAAGCAGTTCACACAACTACCTCAATCAGCCACACTGAAAGCAACTCTCTGCTCCCTCAAAGTCCTCCTTGTGCCCTTGAATTATGCAGCTTTACTCTCACATTTACATCTCTTCTTCTGGTCTCCAAAAGAGCTTCTTGGCATGTGTTGGTGTGACTTTTCAGGCTTTCACCATGGCAATCGACTGCTTGCACAGCCCTGGCAGCCAGAAGATCCTTCACGACGTTGGCATGACAATTTAATGCCGCAACGTGCAAGGCCGTCCGGCCTTGGCAATGCCAAGTTGGCTCTGCCAAGAAAGCAAGAAGACCGGCAAAGCGCGATTCATGGTCATCGACAGAATCAGCATCCCAAACAAGCACTCGAAGCACGGAAAAAAGCACACAAAGGGAGATGTACATGTAAAATCATGTAAACTGTTTTTGTGAAACAAATGCTGAGAGTGAGATGTCTGCATGAGCAACTGTGTCGCAATAAGTCTATGAGCCGGAGTTGGTCTTCAAGAAACACGTGAGAACCGCTAAGACAATGGCCACGCTCATCCGCACTTTCCACAGCCGCTGGGTCCTGTTGGAGGAAGCGTTGGACAATCGGAAGTGATCCAGCCCCAGCCGCATTGATGATACTTTGGCCTCAAATCAGGCAGCAAAGAAGCTGAGTTGAGGCATGCCCTACAAACCGACATTGCTGCGATGCAATCTATCGTCTCAGCGCCCGGCAGCCAGATGCCTGATCTCTCTCTGCCTGCCAAGTGAATGAAGAAAACGGTTTTGGAAGTTTCACCTACCAAAGATCTATTACAATATCACGTGTGCAAATTGCAAACCCCATAACTAAAATGTCTAAATTGTTTGGAGTAAACTCGATTACGCTGCCACACACCTATTCTCTTTATTGAGAATGGAGGACGTGTGCTGTATTCAAGCAATGCATGTTCAACGGTTTTTTTTGTCATGGCAGTCCATAAATGTCTGGAAGAATATGTAAAACGTGAAGGAGTCAACTTGCAGGACCAGTGAGTTACTCTCCGTTCAACATATCTTTCCTGCCTCAAGCCTGGAAACTGCTGCTGAAATCTTTTGGCGTTCTTCCTGGCAGGTTCTGAGAAAATCCGCGCTTAAAACGTGGCTGCCGAGCTCCCTTTACTCTGCAGGGATATTGATCAGGTTCGCTGTCTTTCCCAGGAAGCAGTGCATTCGCTGGGCGATACCAAAAGAGCTTCTTTGGGGAACAAGGGTTTTAGGGAAACACGCCAATGACTCTGAAACCGATTTCGTGCCATATCATGTTTTTGTTCAATCAGGACCTGTTTGAGGCCCGACATGTTGAAAATGACCGATTCACCTGTAACCGCTTGTCTCGTGTTTGAGCAATGCATTCGCTTCGTATCTCCACTGGCATGGCATGTACATTCGTTTTCAGGGGCTACCTCGCCTTTCTCTGCTTCACATCTTTGACCTGCGAAACTGGTCCAGCCGCAGCATCAACAAAACTGTTTGGGTTCCACGGAAATCTTTTGGGAAGGATTTCTTGTAGCAAGGCACTTGACCGACTTGACTTGTTCTTCTATGATCGGCGCACCTTCTCCTGTGTTTTGCCATGAAGATCTTCTATGCCAGGATCTCCTGGCTGCGTAGGAATGGCAAATTGCAACTGCCAAACAACGCATATCCCCAGTCCGACATTCGATGCACGTGGCATAATTACACATGGCATAATTAGATCAGCTTCCATTGATGTTTATTTTGTGGATTGATGACAGAGCGAGTAAAGCAAAGCCATTCAATTCGGGAACTTCTTCCCTGTATCGGTATCGCATTCCCCTATTTTCCTGCAGACAACGGATCGACGCGCTCGACTTGCTCCTCTACGTTCTGTTGACCCTTCTTGGAGTTGGAAGCACCTGCATGTTTTGCATTAGCACCTTGAGACCCACAATTCACTTATAGCAAAGTCTTCCAATAAACGCCAAGCAACTGATCAATCTTTGTCCGCCAGGCAGCCTTCTCAGGATCCTTGAAGCTTTGCGATTCAAAGTCAAAACCTTGTAGCATAGATCTGTTGAAAATGTTGCCAACGGTCCAGCGTAGTTTCACGTGTTCAAAGCAGGCAAAGGGTGTCTGGAACGACATTCCCAACCCTTCAATCTCCATTGGCTGCTTTCTTTATCCATAGTGTTCTGCTGTGCCAGTGACACTTTCTTCTGCCAGCCAAGTTACCATATGGAGTAGGTCTCCTCTTGCTTGAGCTCTTTGTAAATCCCTCGTTGCAGGACATCCGCATGCACATACTAACATGAAGGGATGGACGCGCTCATGTGTCCACACATGTACCAGGTGCGTGCTCGTGTTGTGACCGCGCAGCTTCTATCCTACTTACGATTCTTTTTGAAGGCCTGTGACACCCAGTTGAAGGAGCTAAACCCAAGCAACAGCACTCTTTTGACAACTGGTCGTGGCGCCCCAATTACAAACAACAAACTTTGCAAACATTTCATAAGAACAACAGTGAATGTGAACACACTCATTGTTTGCCAAGGTGCTGGAGACACTTTTCCATACTCTTCTCCAAATCCTGACAAGAAATTGCAGAGGCGTAATCAAAGAACTATACCTGAAAGAAATGCAAATATTGACCTTGCTGCAACAGACATAGTCTGCCGGATATCAACGTTAAACGGAAATATTGAGCATTGCCTGGTGAACATCATGGATATCACCGGGTGGGGCTTGACACATTGAAGACAATGGACAAAAAGTGACAACTCAAATCTCTGAAGAGGCGATTGCTCGCGGTACAGCTTTTCTAGAGGGTACAGTAGCAGGTACAAAACAAAAGAGCAACTTGTCCTGGGTGCATGACCGTTCCCGGCATAAAGGTTGTCATAGAAGTAGCAAGTTTTGCTTAAAAAGACTCTGAATAGAAAAGAGAAGAAACTGTCAAATAGATCGCAGGGTGATACAAAGAGTGAGCAATCTCACAATGATGCCCATAGCACATTTTACACTTTGAGCATCGCCTGGAACTTTGCTCGAGTATAGAGCTCAGTTCTCACCAATGTGAAGGAACAATGGCAGGAGTATCAACAAAATCGATATGCATCAAGAATTTGCGTGCCTCAAAAAAATGCCGATGCTTTGCAAAAAAAGCACAGATTGTATATCAAACATGTTCATCTAACCTGTATCTTTGTCTTTCAAGCCAAAAGACTAAGCCACCAAAGAAACAATTGAACAAATTAATTGTTTGTCTTGATACAAATCTGTGTCTTTAATATGTCTCCCGGTCACAACTTGGTAGGGAAGCTGCGATCCAGCAAGGTTAGTTCATTGTCTCAGAGTCAAAGAACAAGTGACAAGGCCACAAGACTGCCAGCAGTACCTTCAAAATTAAACGACTCCAAAGACCAGTCAAAAGCCGACAGGGGCCGCGCACAAACTTCAATGATACAAACTGAAACTACTGATTTGTGAAGGATGCCAGATGCCAAAGAATTGAAATAGAAATTATCAGCATACATGGGATGGACAAGCAGTTCGTTGAACGACTACCAAGTACAACTGGGAGAACAAACAACAGCAACAGTTAAAAGAATTGGACACAAGCGCCTCATGAGGGGAGCAAAGGCAAACACAGAATCAAATAGCACATTGGCAAGCGATCTCAGGTTTATCTTCGTCAGTATTGCAACTGAAACACATTTAACATGTTGCAAACAAGAGCAGCGCTACCATTGCATCTAAATTTGCATAAACTGCGGTAGCTTTGAAACCCCAGTCCGCACAGCTCTTCGACAACTTTGAGGAGTCTGCCAATCCTACGCAGGAGATTGATCTGTGACGAATCAAAAGGACAATGGACAGCTCTTGCAACAGCAAGCAAAGAGCGCAATATTTGAGAATACGGGTAAATCAGAGAGCTGGAGCACTACAACAACACTTATGGCAAGAAGCACACCAGCACAAAAGGGCATCAAAAGCATAATCCTACAGCACTACAAGTCCGCAAGCACGGACAACAAGGCTCCGCCGTGCGACACACTTTGGCACTATATAATGAATACAAGAGCGATAAAGGGCAAAAGCAAAGGAAGAGGGATTGCCAAATGCTACCAGAACGCATAGCACAACATGAAGGAGCAGGAGAAACTGGAATTGAGCAAGAAGGACCAATAGGACAGCAGTGCAAACAAGTAGGAGACAGCTGAAGGGAATTCTTGGACCAAGGCAAAACACACGGACCAAAGCTGGACGGTACAGAAGCAAAAAGGGACATCAAGCTTGGTAGAAGGTTACACCTTATATTTTATGAACACAAGGAGATCAGCAATAACTGGCACCACCAGCATCGATGACACCCTTAAGGTCGAATAAACGCTGCCGTTCACACCTGTCACCTGCTCCGAAGCTGCTCACCCACCTGTGACTCTGGAGTCCATGCCTCCCGATCACGTATGAAAACGTTGCCAAGTGGCAAAGCTGAGCAAGGCCACAACATCCTGGCAGCCCTTCATCTGCGCGAAATCCAGAGCAGTTCGACCTCAGAAGTTCAGCGCCAAGTCAAGCCTCCTATTGGTCCTAATGTGCGCTTGCGGCTTTGGCAGAGTGGCTGGCCCCTTTGGTGGTGAGGGCGCGGCCATTATTGTTTTTGGCGTCCACATCTGCACGGGCAGCAAGCAGGTCCTGAACCACCTCTGCGCTGCTGCCAAAAGCCGCATGGTGTAAAGATGTGTCACCTGGGCCAATCTGAACATCAAATGAAGTGGGACACCTACTCCATCAGCTGCAATGAACAGTTCCGAGGCTTCCACCATCATGATCGGCTGCCTGTACTGCTGCCCTGGCAGCTAGAAGTTCCTTCACCACTTGGGCATGACGGTTCAACGCTGCAAGTTGCAAGGCCGTCCGGCCTTGGCAAGGATGTCTCAAGGCATGAGAAGGGCCCTTCTGTAGCCCGAGGCAACATTGTATGTTTGGTGAAATGGCTCAAACGTTGCAATGGCTGAAGCCTAAAGTTCCTGATGTTAAGAAACCAGCAACTCTGTGTTGAGGAATTCAAAAGTCACAAAACAACTGAGACTACGGCCATTCTCATCTGTACTTTGCACAGCGGCTGGGTCCTCTTGGAGGAAGCGCCGCACTGTTTGAACCAGTCCAGCACCAGCCGCATTGATGATGTTGTCCCCTGAAACCAGGCTTCAAAGCCGAGCTGTCCACAGCTGCAGAAACCATCAAACATGGCGATGACATTGAGACATCGCCAAAAAACGATCTAAGCGCCCAGCAGCCAGATGCCTGAGCTCTGTCTTCCTGCAGATGTGAAGTTCATTTGTGTGGCAAGAGTGCAAGGGTCAATGATGACCTGCAAGTAAATATACAAGATCTACATGAGTTGGGAGGAAGATCAAGCACCTGGATGCACACTGGTCTCTTGGCAGGTTCAAGGGGTGAAATGTGGGGCAAAAGCAATATGAAAGTTGAGCAGAACAAGGCTTCCTGCTAGTACGCAAGCTGCGAATCGAATCTAGATGTCAAATGAGTTGACGCATCCAAAGCCCGAAAGTTTGCCAGTGAGGGAAAGGCATTTACAAACATTTACTTCACGTGAGTTCCGTCTTGATATAGCTGTCGCTAGAAGGATCAGCTGAAGCGTTGGTTTGTGCTTGACAAAGGGTCTTTGTGTTTGAGCACAAAACGTCCTGTGTTTTTCAACGAAGAACATCATTAAAGATTTTGACAAATCAGTTTCACTTGAAAATCCGGGCAGTTCTGTCCAGCCTCAAGCCTGGACAATGCTGTTGATATTTTCTGTTGCTCTTCCTGGCAAGATCTGAGGAGCAAAGGTGGTTCTGATGCCAGAGCTGTCCGAAAATTGATCAGCTTTGTCACACACCCATGTATTAGGGCACCGGCTAGGCAGGACAAGAGCCTTTCTTTGGACAGCAAGATAAACATTGATGGCCCATGTATGACCTGATGCTCTCCGTCTCCTACTTGTTTCTGCTGGATATGAACCCGGGGTAACACTGGAACTGATCTGACACATAAAGATTTTGGCTTGCGGTATCAGGTAGATTCAACCCTGCATCCGTTATGCCTCTGTTTGGGGAGCAAGGATCTGACCCCTCTCTATTGCACAAACAAATGAAAACCAACATCAACTTGCAAAAACTGGCATGAACAACCCAAATAGCAAAGGCATCAGAAAGAGGAGGAGTCCAGATCTCACAAGCGAGACGAGGCTTCCTGACTGAGCGCGGCAAAGTCCTGCTCCTGTGAGCAGGTGGTCATCATTTGTCTTTGAGCGGTGCTGAACCCTATGACTCGCAACTGATTCAGAGTTTAGTTGACAATGCATCTCCAATCATCACACTCTATCCTTTTCCTTTTTCCCTTTCAAGCAACTTGGTCCATTTTGCGGCCTCCGCCGGGGTGAGCTGGTAGAACTGCGTTGAGCCACCACTTCCCATGGGACCTGCACCATGGCCACCAAAAGCCAGAAGATCGCACACTTATCACATTGTTTCCGAGATTGCCAGGATCCTTTATGCAGACTGAACTCTTCGTTCACAACAATGATCATGGCGTATCGAAGCAAATCTCAGCTGACATTGAACAATCGGTGGGTTGGTTCTTGCATACGGGTGCCTCAAGGTCCTTTCTGATTCACTCAGGGCCCCATTTGGCTTCAAAAAGAGACTTTGCTCTTTGAGTTGTCCTTGTAGAAAAACGGCAGCGGGTCCAGATTGAATTGCACATTTGTTGGTTCACCCTGCAAATCGTCCGAATTTGGTGTATGTAAATATCTGTCACAAGTAAGTAAGCACAGGATGTCACTAGGCTTAAAAGCCGGACAAATTGGTTTTTTAATTCCTGAAAGTTGCATGCTGGATGGATCCTTGATCAACTTGTCTTTTCCATCAAGACGCTTGTTTCGCAGAAATTTCTTGTGCTCATCGTATGCGCAGATTGATTGGTCACTTTTTTGTGCTGCTTGCTCCTGCAGTTGGGGCTTTCTGTCCATCGAACCTATGAACGATGGGGCGAACGTCGGAGAGTGGAGTCGAGAACCGCTGCGAAGCGCGCTGCCCGCTGCCACAAGCTGCAGTAGCATATTGACAGGTCCAATCAGGAAGGGGAAGATCAGAAACGAAAAACATGCAGCAGATCAGTAGTGGAAATAGACTATAATGGCCTATTCCTGGCTCAAGCACTCCTTCTTGACTGGCTTGGGAAGTCTTGTTGGACAGATCCCGAAAAGATATGTCCATATAGGCGTATATATAAGCTCCTAATTCCTAATGTTGCCTCGGCTAGAGTTGCAAGAGTTGAGTACCAAGCACAAGAAACAACTCGAAGACACCCAACGAGCAAACTTCATGCGCCCCGCGCAAAAAAAAAAAGAAACGACAGAAAGAACAAGACACATTCTGAAACAGAAAGAACAGTGTAGTGAGGAGGTGGGCTGGAAGAGGTCGAACAACCAAGGAATATTGGGCTCGGCACTGCGTGACACGGGACAGGATTCGAGAAGTCTCTGGATACTGCGCCGTGGTTTCTTTTTTGCCCGTGAAGACTTTACAACGCAAGGCTTTCGTATTGGTGTCGAAGACTTACTTTGTGTGAGAAGGTGAGTGGAGAGCCTTCTTTCAAAGAAAGAACACGTAGAAGTTTCTACTTGCGAACAGGCCAGTCGTGGCCAACGTAACAGCACGAAACTTGATCTGCCGACCTAGCCAACCTACCTGCCTGTGAAGATGCTGCTTTTCCAAATGAACAGTCCAATGGAACTGTTTATCGAATCAGCACAAGCACAGGAAAATCAACTGGCCACGGAGTGTTCAGAAGAAAGCGAGAAAAATAAGAAAGGAGGTGGGAAAGGTAGAATCAGTGAATTGGTGAAGGAACGCAGTATCTGATGTACAATGTGCAGGCGATTATAATTTTGTGGATTGATGCCAATGAAGGAAAGGCAAACAGTTTTGGACAGTGGTTGAGACGTTCACTTGGGCCTGCACAATCTCCACTGTGGCTTTGATCTATGGATCGGTGGCATCCAAGACACTAGTCTTTGCTCTGGAACTCGCTGAAGGAGAAGGAGGGCAATGTCCTCTTCTGGATCCACTTGCCCTTTTCGTTCTCCACTTCTTCCGTCTTCGGAAGCTATTCACCCCCGGCCAAAGAGGTGTCCAGCGTGCGCCAGCGCGTATAGGGTATGTCCAGCCGACCCGTTGAGACATCCCTCCGTCGTCCCGGCCTGCAAAGAACCCTTCAGTTCGCGGAGGCCAATGAATCCGCCATCACTGATGCCAATGGAGGCCTTCGCATCACATGTTGCACCCCAGAGCTAGTGGAGCTCCGTGCCCCGTTCTTGGTAAAATCACAAAGACGGGTGGAGCTCAGCAGGGAGAAGAACACTTTATCATATCGTTTTGACCACTTTGGACACACTGGAGAAACCCAGAATGGCAAAATTTGGGAATGTCCTTCCATCCCGAATGGGTGGTTCGCGGCAACCTTGCAGTGCTGGAGATCGGCAGCTTATCGCCCGAATTTTTGAGATTACTTCCGATCGCCGCAAAGAGTTCAATGCTGGCCACACCAAATGCCAAAGGCCAGTCTGCATGACCTCCATAAGGCAAGAGCAATTGCTTTGAAGCGCACTGCTTCATGGTGATGCTGGTGGGCGATCGGAGAAGGACACCCATGAAACAGTTGGCTGATCCACTCGTGAAAGACAGCGCCGTCCTGGAGAACCTCGTTCGGCTTCTGATCTGGACACCTTTTTGCCGAATCCAGAGAGAGGATCTCCAAGAGGAAGATCGAAGAGCGAAAGGCAGAAAGAGAGAGGCGGAAGCAACGATTGGAGACGGGACAAAGGTTGCACAAACAGAACAAATTAGACAACATGAAGAGCAACCAAGGCCGCATGCCCGCGCTATCAATGACAAGGAAGCAACATGAGGTCTGACGTAGAGGGGCTTAGGGGAGAGGGGATGAAAAAGAAGGCAGTCAGATACGTGAGGCAACAGTAGGCAAGACAAGAAATCGAGAGGAGATGAGATGTCAAGACACTTTGAGTTTGAACGGAATACCACAGTTCTTTCCTAGATTCTCTGCTCTCTATAGACACAGCCGCGGCAAGCATGACAAGTGACATACTTCGTGCAAAGAAACAGTGGGATATCTTTTGTCCTCGCAGAATCGGGCCCATCTGCAGAGCTTCTAAGGGGCTCTTCACAAGGTGCGAGCCCTTCGCGCTGAGTCCAAGAAACCCACCTGGGCGACCGAGCAGGACGGCCATGGAAAAGCCAGGCCTTACCTGCCACATCTGCCCAAAGAAGGAAAACCGTCTTGTCCTGGCCTGGCATACTTCATCTAGTCTTCTGCGCCCTCTCCCGGCCTTGACTGCCACCAGAATTCGACTGTGAAAATCCTTCGAATCCCATGCGATGCGCCTTAGGCGCCGGCCAGGGAAGCCACCCAAACCTCGCCAAGACAAGCCAGGTCTGTCTCCGAAGGTTGGAACTGGAAGGTAGGCCCGATGCGACTCCGATGTGTTTTTGTGACTCGGACGTGACATGGAGGTCATGGTCCTGCAAGGTCAAGCGAATCAGCGGTCTTGCAAGGTCATGACCTTGGTTCTATTTGACCTCTTGGAAGAACACAAACTGTGGAGGAATTTCAAGATCTGTCATAGTCTCATGAAGGCTCAAGCAACGCACCATTCGCTTTAATGGACAACGGGTGACCGTAGACTGAAGTGCCACACCTTGAGATCTGTTCCTTTTTTCCTGCTCAAAAGGACAGACCCTCTGGCTAGACGGCCAGAAAAACTGTAGAGTCTTCTGCCCATCGATCTTGATCCTCCAAAAAGGGCACTTAGCGCCCTCGGTTCGTAGAATCTTCCACCCTTCAGGACCCCTGTGGGCCGTGCCAAATCGCGTCCGCACGAACGAGGTCGCCCGAGGGCGGCCCATCGACAGAGGTCTACCTCTCGGGCATTACAACCGAAGGCAGGGTCAAAATGGGAAACAAGTTTTGGAGGTCAGTTGGGTGTATCCCATTCCCTGTAACAGTGGATGATCATGGTCAGTAGAGGCCTTTTTCGAAAATCGTGATAATCTCTCACTATTGCAGGTCATGGGACACAAACAGCGATTACTTCAGTACGTCACAGCGATTTCTTCAGGCCCCCCTCCCTTGGTGTCGACGATCGGTGCCCACCATGCGTGTCGCCATGCGTGTCACCGTGCGCATCGCCATGCCCTGCGGTGCAGTGCTCGTGGTCAAGAAGAATCAATCCAATGGACGCTGCGCCCACGATGAAGATCAAGATCGTAGCACAAGCTGTCAGCAAAGGCCAAGCACAAAGCCATCAGAGATGGGAAATCCCAGAACCCACATCATTCTTTTAGGCACTTTGGGCGCCTGCTCCGCTCCCTCCACAGCTTTCACATCCTCCACAGCATCCCCACCGAACTTCTTCTTGACCACATCGCCAGCCAGGTGGGAGATGGTTCCTACGAGCCACCCAGCAATGACCGTGCTACCCCAGGCTGCCGCCGCTTCGGCCTCCGTCTTGCCGACCGCGAGCATATGACTGGCCTCAGGCAGGAGGAGGAACACCGCTGCTGCCAGCAAAATCCCGGAGGCCAAAGAGTTGGAGTAGTGAAGAATCGTCTTGACATTTGGGCTGTTGGGAGAACAGGAGAGGACCAGTAAAGCAACGCCAACAAGGGTTGGAAGTGTGGTCACCAGCGATGCACCAATCACCTCTCCAAGCCGGTCAGAGGCGCCCGTCGTCTCGTCATGGTCATCGTGATCGCACCGTGTGGGACGGAGACATGTTTTCAACAGCTGGTCGGTGCGGATCACATTCGACAGCTGGTGGCTGAACGAGTTGAAGGGTTGTGCGCGGCAAAGAGTGCCACGTTGCTTTCTGCAACAGGAAACTTAAAGATCGTGATCCAAGAATCGGTGTCAAATTGAAGATGTGTCCAGGCTTAGGACTGCTCCATTCTGCACGGCCGTGATGCCGGTGGCGTTCAGGTCAGCTTCTGCAGCGCTTTGCACGGCTGTGATGCCAGCAGCGTTGGCAGAGCTCGCCGTCCGGAGGGCGACGTTCATGGAAGGATCTGCATATTGAACGGGCAATGTTCCCTTCTTCTCAAAGGTCCATACGAGCATGCCTGCCTCATGGGCATGGTAGACTCCGGCACACTCCCACAAGCAGGAGGCTTCTCCACCCAATACCAAAGTGAGAAGAATGCTAGAAGGGAGCATCATCACAAGTTCTTTAGTTGCAAGAGGTAGGTAGAACGAGCAGAGGTCTAAAGGCACTATACAGCTGAACTGAGCCAAGCAGAAACTAGCCTTGCCTTCAATGACGGCGCCTGAAAAAAGAAGCGGTTGCATGTCAACAAACACGCTTGCTAACGCCTTGGCTGCAAATGCCATCCACACAGCA